GACAGGGCTGGGTGATGGGGGGAGCATGACAGGGCTGGGTGAGGGCCGTCACTTGGACCATCACTTCACCCCTTGACCGCTGAGCTCCTCCTGTCTCTCATCCTGTCTTCGGGGCCCTACCCGGGAGCTCACTGACCACTGTCCCTCCCTTGAGCTTTGGGGGGTTGTTGGGCACCTCCACAGGCTGGCCTGCCTGTTGCCCCAGCCACAGGGCACCCCCCAGGGCAGGGCTGTCTCTGCCGGGAGCAGAGGCCTCTGGGGCCCTGGGGTGTGAGGTGTGTCAGGGAGAGCCACAGCGGGCACACACGACACCACTGGCCGGCAGGTGAGGACACAGAAGCCTGCATGGGCCAGCACCTCGCCCAGCTCCCCGCTCCTCTCCAAGGACCACCCGCCCACCCGCCGGCCGCCGCCGCCTACCTGTGCGAGCTGAGTGCGCAGCGCCGCGAGCTCCCCCTGCAGACGTGCCCGCTCAGCGCGCAGCACCGCCGTCTGCTCCTGCAGGGCGCGCCTCTCCGCGTGCGCTTCGGCCGCCTCCTGCTCGCCACTGCACTGCGGCCGCCAGAGCACCTGGGCGGGGGACACTGGGCGTGGGCCAGGGGTTGGGAGGGCCCGGGTTTCTGAGGGCAGGTTGTTCCGTCTAAGGCTGGCCCTGGCCTCAGCCGATTTTCTCCTAAACGGCGTGTCCACAGCAGACTCCTCTGTTGCAAGGGTGACTGCTGTGTGGCAAGAAATCCAGCCCCTGACTCTGCGTGGGACCCTCCAGCCTCAGTTTCCCCAGCTGTCAGAGGGGGACTGGATGGTGCCTAGGCCTCTGCAGGCCTGCACACCTGCCTTCACTGTCCCTCTAGGGCTCCCTTCATGCTGAGGGGCTGATTTTGCAAAGGACCGCAGGGCCTCTTTCCCGCAGGCCTGTTCACCGCCCCCTGGTGACAGCGTACCCTGCCCTCCTGAGAACCTCACCTGTCGCGGGCGCTCCAGCGATTCCTCGGCCTCTGGGCGCCTGTGCTCCAAGTTGGTGAGCTGCTCCTCCAGCAGCTTCCTCTTGGCCAGGCCTTGGCTGTGCCTCCTGCCCTTGTCAAGGGTCTGGCGCAGTGCGTCCAGTTGTTCCTGGTGGGAGGGGGACACACGGCCCACCTGGAGACACTGGGCATGGGGGTCTGCAGGGAAACCTCACCTCGGGCCATCTGCCTAGACCGCCCCACAGGCCCATGTAGCTGGGATGAAAACAGCAAGAACTCGGTTAAGGACAAAGCGAAGGGCATTGATCAGTGGTTGTGTCTGCAATGTAACCCCAAGGTGTGGACCCCCAGGAAGCCTGAGACAAAAGTCAGGGGGGTCTGGCCCAGCGTGGGCAAAGGCTCGGGCTTGGCAGGTTCTCTGCTATAACCGGTGGCCTCAGAGGGCACATCAGTGGCATCCCTGCCCTGTCTCCAGCCTTGGCGGCTCCGGCTGCCCTTGGGATAAGGCCTGAGGTGACCCTCTCCGAGGCTTCCAGAGCCTTGTCAGCTCAGGCCCTGCTTGCCCCTTCTGCCATCACACTGTGCGTTCTCCTGCCTCAGCTCCCACCTGGGGACACGGCTAGTCCCAAACGGAGCCCAGGAGCTCTGGAGGCCGGGAAGCTGGCATCGCCTGTGATCCCCGCGGTGTCCCTCACCCCTGCACCCTCCTCTCAGCCCCTCTGCCTTCGGCCTGTCCAAACCACCGCCATCCACTTGGGACCGGTGCCTGTCCTTCAGTTTCCTCTCTGTCCTCAGGCACTGCCCAGGACGGCCCGAGGGCGCATTTCACCTGAGTACCATCTGCCATGCCGCTGCCTTGCTCTGGGCCTGTGGCGCTTCCAGCTGCCACCAGGACACGGACCTGGGAACTTGCCACCACACAGACCTCGTACGCCTGCTGACCCCTGCCCACAGCCTCCCCACCTGGCGCCCCCGCCCTGTGGGGCCGCCTTCTCCTCCTGCTTGCAGGAATCTCAGCTCCCTGCCAGCCCAAGAAGGAGGATGGCACTGGGGGTGCCCCCTGAGCCCCAGAGCTGGCAGCTGTTGGGGCTTCAGCACCCCCAGATGCGAGAGAGCCCGCGAGGCATCCGTCCTTGGAAGCCTCTGGACTGCACGTTGGCCCGGTAAGGCCTTGGTGGGTCCCCAGCCCTCGCACCTTCCTGGGGTTTTGTGGAGAAGCGGCCAGCTCCTTCTGAGGTGGCCACACTTTGAAAACACTGTTTCTTTGGTCTGACACTTTGTTACTTTAAAAAAGGAGAAGAAGGAAGGTAACGCTTGTACCTAACATTGCGACGCTTCGCCCTTCGGTGCAGTTTTGAAAATTATAATTTTCTCTACAATTTTCCAGTACAAAAGCAGAAGTTTCCTTCAAATATGGCTCAAATATCTCATAGCAGTCTTAAGAGGTCCCAAACCTCTTGTAATGACTCAGCTTTTATGGAATTTGAATGAACCGTAATAATTGAGTGGTTCTCCTTTAATGCGCAGCCCCACGCAGCCCCAGTGAGTTGCTCTGATCTCCTGTGTCCTTTCAGCTCTAAATCCTGATGCTGTGTGAGAGGCAGGCTGGCAAAACCAACCCTGAAAACATGGGTTCAGCCTGAGTCTAAAGTAGCTGCAGGAAAGAACCCCAGCCCTGCTCCCCCAGAGCCGAGTGGAGCTGAGTGCTCAGGATGAATCTGGGTTCCAGCAGCCCCTACCCTGGAGCCTGAGCAGGGAAGAGCCTGGGCTCGGGGCCAGAACATGGGGTTCCAGTGTCAGTTTCCCCATCTGTGGCATGGGTATGGTGCAGTCTCACAGGGGCCTCGTTGGGACCAAAAGAAGGCTGGGGCCGGGCGTGGTGGCTCCTGCCTATAATCCCAGCCCTTTGGGAGGCTGAGGTGGGCGGATCACCTGAGGTCAGGAGTTTGAGACCAGCCTGGCCAACATGGTGAAACCCCGTTTCTACTTAAAATACAAAAAATTAGCCAGGCATGGTGGCACGCGCCTGTAATCTAGCTACTTGGGAGGTGGAGGCAGGAGAATCGCTTGAACCTAGGAGGCAGAGGTTGCAGTGAGCCCAGACTGCACCACTCCACTCCAGCCTGGGCAACAAAAGTGAAACTCTGTCTCAAAAAAAAAGAAGAAGAAGAAGGCTGGGAGCATGCTGTGGACCCCGGGAGGCCCCCGGGGAGGCTGTTACAAACGAAGGGCTTGCATGGAAGGCTGGGCGTGAAGGCTGGGAAATACCTGAGCATGAGCAGAAGGGGCAAAGGCCTCGTCAAGCGTCCTGCCGGCCGCAAAGGGCAGGGCAGAGCATACCACAAACACCTGCCAAATCCGTCCTTTGCGCTCTTGGAATTGGGGTCCTCAGCCTGATACCTGTTATCCACCGGGCGACCGTGGCCAATCCGGTTATCCACTGGCACGTCCCCTGGAGTCCCTGCCCTGGCGAGCTGGCCCATCCTGCCCTCAGGCCTGTCACAGCGCAATGACCTCTGGACAGTCCTCAGACACAAGGGGTCGGAGCCCTTCTTGCCACACAGTGGGACGCTGGGGCCAGACCGAGGGCGGGGTCTGTGCCAGTTTGCGGTGGCAAGGCCTCCTCTCGGCTTGGGCCTGCCCGCTGCCCGCCTCTTCTGCCAGCCCCTCCTGCTTGGACCCGACTAGCTTTATAGCCTGTTGCACTAGTCACTTTCAAAATTTTCTTGGAAAGTCTTAAATGTCTACCCTTTCCCGTCAACTTTGCAGTCAGCTTGTCCAGTATTCCTGTGAACACAACACAAGCAAATAGACAAAACCAAACCATAAAAGCAAACAACCAGCAAACAACTGACAAAGCAGGAGCACGAACAAAGACCCACCCAGAAGCCGATCACCCGCCCAAAGCCACAGCCTCGTCAGGGAGACGCCGTGAGCAATGGCAGTGGCAGAACACTCACTCATGCATTCAAATAACCCTCACACTCAAGAAGAAATAAAGATGGAAACTTCTAGAAAACTGGTAAAAAGGGAACAAACTCACATCAAAAGCTGCTGCGGCACATCCCAAACCACAGTTAGGGAAAATGGGATCATGTGAAATGCTCCCGCTGTTAAAAGAGAAAGCCCACACGTAAACAACTTACTTATTCCTTTCAAGAACTTGGAAAAATTACAACGAAAAAGATTTAAAAAGAGAGCATTGGCTGGGCGTGGTGGCTCACGCCTGTAATCCTGGCACCTTGGGAGGCCAAGGTAGATGTGTTGCTTGAGCTCAGGAGTTTGAGACCAGCCTGGGCAACATGGTTTAACACCATTTCTACAAAAAACACAAAAGTTAGCCAGATGCAGTGGCATATGCCTACAGTACCAGCTACTGAAGAGGCTGAGGTTGGAGGACCGCTGGAGCCCCGGAGGTAGAGGCTGCAGTGAGCCGGAATCACGCCATTGCACTCCAGCCTGGCAGACAGAGCCAGACCCTCAAAAGAATAAATAAAATACAAAATAAACTGAGACTGAGAATAGAGTGTTAATAGAAATAAAAGCAGAGATACATTGATTATTTGAAAACAGGAATAAAACGAACTGTTGGCAAGTCAGATTAAGGAAAAGAAACCAGCCTGGAACATGAAGGACAGAAGCAGCTGTAACTCCACGTGGAAATGAGGCACAGCGATGCGCAGAGAGCAGGTGCACCTGCCGGCAAGACCACGCTATCACAAAGATGGTGCTCAGCAAATGCATGTGCAGGTCCTTGGCGATGCGCTGGACGTGTGCGATGAGTGACATTCCCACGGGCAAAGCTGACCCGAGAAGAAATGGAAAGCGAAAACAGACCTTTGACAGAAAAGAGACTCAAAGGGAATTAAAGTGTGCTCTTTACCATGACAGGGGCTGCCGACAGGTACAGGGACGCTCAATGAACCTTTCAAGGAAAGTTATTTTGAGCGTTCCAGGTGACAGAAGAAATGGAAAGCCCACCAATTCATTTTATAAAATAATCACATTTTCTTAACACAAATAAATTTGAAAAATATGTCACCAAAAAGGAATTACAGATGCAAAAATTCTTGACAAAGCACTGAGAATAATCAATTCCGACCGTGGCTCAGTGTCCGCCTTGTGGGCCCTGCTGGCCCCAGGCTGCTCTGCTGGCTTTGGGCTTGTGTGGATCCTGGAAACTTTTAGAGCCTGTGAATGATGCTGAGTTTGGCCCCCACAGGCAGGTGAACTGCAGGGCTGGCACTGGGGACATGGGAGCTGGCGGGGTGGACGTGGCATGTGGGCACAGTGGGCGAAGGAGGCCTGGGCAAGAGTCCAAGGATGCCACGGGCTCCCCTGAGCTGTGACCGGGTGCCAATCCGAGGGTGGCAGGGTGGGCCTTTCTGAGCAGGCGTGAGGCTGTGGGTGACGCTGGGTGAGTGCCAGGCCTCCCGCCTGCTTGGCGGCCTGGCCAGCTGCTTGGGCATGGCTGCTGTGTTTGGTGCATGTCCTGGCGCCGCGGGCTGGCCCTGCACGGCTGTTCTATCGAATTCCCAGGATAGCCTTGGACACGGGAGGGATTTGCTCTCAAACAGAATCTTACTGTTTGCATAGTACAGCCTACCATTTAATTAGAAAAATATGTTTTTAATTAACTTTCTCTTGACAAACACATTGGCTTATGTGAAATGGGGAAAAACCGACCCATGAAAGTGAGAGAAGTGTGTCAAATGCAGAGCCAGAAGAGGCGCCAGACCTGCCCCGAGGGACCCCACGGCTCGGCAAGGGCGCGGGGCAGCAGGGAGTGTGGCTGTCTTCCCAGCCCCCTGGCTGGCTAGAAACGTTTCAACCCTGAGTTCTCTGCCTGGGTTTGCCAAGTGTCAAAGGCGGGGCCTCTGGTGAGGTGGTGACTTAGGTGTGTCTGAATCCAGACACCCACCACAAGGACCAATAGATGACAAAAGGTTGGGAAAAACTTGTTCTCAGAGCTGGAGACCAGGGACTTGTAGGGCTCCTGAGGGCAGATGAAATCAACTCCGCCTAAAAAAAGGTGAAATGGACACTGCCAGAATTTTAAGAAAACATTGACACCATCATGATAGAGTTTACCACGTTTCACTAAAATCCTTGAGCAAATTCTAGACCAAGCAGAAAAATGCACATGGACAAGGGTCTGATGAATATCAGAGCATCCTCTGCACTCATGTGTGGAGGCCCGAAGTGGGACTCCCCCATACCCTGGCTCAGAACGGGGAGGGCTGCGGGGAGCTACAGGGGACCACATCAGGGAAGAGGGCTGCTGTGGCTGGGGGACCCGGGGAGCCCTCCGTCCCTGCCAGGGAAGCAGCTGAGGAGGTAAGGGTGCCCCCACTGCCCCCCCACACTTCAGGAAAAGAACAGCTCTGGGGGGGGCAAAATGCCACTGCTGGCTCCCCACGCTCCCCCACAGCTCCCTGTGGCTGCGGGATCTTGGAACCCTTCTCTCTGCCTTTCCTTTGAGCCTGAAATACGTGGATGGGGACACATAAAGTCCGTAATGAGCCCTCTCCACTCCCAGCTTCGAGCAAGGCCAGAACTCCCTTCAAAGATATGCAAAGGAAAAAGCATCACAAAAGTAGCATCCGCTGGGGTTCGAGAAAATAAAGTCGATTCGAGGAAATCTCGAATTGAGGAAATCTCTAAGGAAACAGAGGAGGAAGCTGCTGACACGCATCAGAAGAGGGTAACTGGCATTCTCTGGGCGAAGCCAGGGCAGGGAGCCCGAGGTGAGAACTCCGGCTGAGCAGGCCGCCGTGGGGGCAGCAGCAGAGGCGATGAGGCAGACAGTGAGATGAGCTGAGCAGGAGTAAGACCTGAAATTCTCCTAGGACCCTGGGGAGATGGAGGTGAGGAGCAATCCAAGACCGAAGCCCGCACAGGCCCAGGGGGTCATGACGGGTGCTGAGGGTTCCCGGACAAAGGAGCAGGGGGTGACGGAGAAGGAGAAGAGGTATTTTTTTTTTTACAGTGGGAGGAACCTCTGTAGACAGAAGGTAGATTTGCTTCTGCAAGTAGGGAGGGGTTGCCAGGGCACGTAAAAATACTGAAAGGGGCCGACACGCCCGTATGTTGGTGACATTTTTGAATTTCAAAGACACGGAGGCCTCTGGCTGCCACTCTGGAAAGAGCGCTGACAAGAAAAACCCAAAGAGCCCAGAGACTCCGCACAGTTCTGGAACCTCTGCGGGGCCCAGACTCTAACGAAAACCAGGCCGCTGCAGGAGAGGCGCCCCCAGGCTCCACCCAGCAGCCAGTGGCACGGAGTTCACTGAGGCTGGCAGCACATCGCTGGGACCCCTGTGGCAGGTGCGGCCCTCGGAGGCCCCGTGAGCTCCGGCGCTGACGCCGTCCCGTGACTACGTGGCATTCACGGCCACGGGACTCTGGATGCGAGTCTGACTCTGAGTTAAGGAAAGGGCGACCACCCAGACAGGCCCCGCCCCCCCACGCAGGCCCCGCCTACCCGGACAGGCCCCGCCCAGACAGGCCGCGCCCCCCCACGCAGGCCCCACCCACCCAGACAGGCCTCCCCCACCCAGACAGGCCCCGCCCACCCACGCAGGCCCCACCCACCCAGACAGGCCTCCCCCAACCAGACAGGCCCCGCCCACCTGGACAGGCCCCGCCCACCCAGACAGGCCCCACCCACCCAGACAGGCCTCCCCCACCCAGACAGGCCCCACCCACCCGGAAGGCCCCGCCCACCCACGCAGGCCCCACCCACCCAGGCAGGCCGTTGGGTGTTGGCAGAAGGGGACAGAGAAGTGTAAGGCACGTGGAGACGTGGGCGAAGGCCCTGCCGCTGCACTGTGGCACCGTCGAGGAAGCCCCTGGCTGGGAGTGGGGGGCCCTTGGCCGACAGCCTGGAAATGAGGCTCAGCCCAGTCACGCAAGGAGCTGAACTTGCCACATGGGATGAGCCCAGATGCCCCGGAAGCACCCAGATGAGCCCAGAGACTCTTCCCTGGAGCCTCAGGTGGCCCAGCCCGCCCCATGACTGTGAGGCCGGGAGGGGAGACCCCAGTCACACATGCCAGGCTTCTCACCTACAGGTCTGGGGGCCCAAAAGTGGGGTTGTTTTAAGTCATCAGCAATTTATTGCAAAAAATAGTGCACCAGGTGTGGGCTGCTGTGGGTAGAGCGCCCTGGGGTCCACAGATATCAAGAGAAGTCCAACTCACAGGCAGGAGAGCCAGAGCCCCCGGGCAGGTTTGCAATTGGAGAGTGTCCAGAGGAGGAAGTTCTAAGAAACAAAAGTCTCAGCTTCTCGGGCACAGGTGGAAGCACTGCAGTGGGCAGGGTGGGGGGACGGGAGACAAGACCCTCAGCCTTGGTGGGTGCAGGGCGCTGTCCTGGCCCAGCCCTAAGGGGCCCTGGGCGCAAAGGCTAAGGGAAAAGGGCTGAATGAATCACTCCTGTGTGCAAGACAGGGCCAGCAGGAAAGACAGGCAGAAAGGAGGAACGTCCTATCAGCAACCTAAGGAAAAACAGCTTGCGTTACCACAAACCTTCTACACAGAACAAATTCCCCAGAAAAGGCGAAGACCCTGAGGTGGGATTGAAGCCAAAGCCAGGCCGATGACACAAAGGCTGAAAACGCAAAGACCAAAAAGTCAGAGGCCAGGAGGAGGACAGACCGCAGCCATGGGGCGTGCCGGCCTCACGGGAAGAGTTCACGGAGAAACTTCACTTTCCAAGAGAGTCAAGAAATCTAGAAGTCAGATACCCTTGGAAATAAAAGGAGACATTGACAAAAAGAGTCGCTGTCAGAAAACTCAACACATCATCCTCGGCTTTCATAAATTCCGGAACTAGCTCAAACGTGGCCTATCTGAATAACGCATTTGTAAAGATTGATTTAAAAGGTCCATTTCAGGGTCAAGCAGGGTGGCTCACGCTTGTCATCCCAGCACTTTGGGAGGCCGAGGTGAGCCGATCATTTGAGGTCAGGAGTTTGGGACCAGCCTGGTCAACATGGTAAAACCCCATCTGCACTAAAAATACAAAACATTAGCCGGGCGTGGTGGCGCGTGCCTGTAGTCCCAGCTACTCAGGAGGCTGAGGCAGGGAATCGCTTGAACCCAGGAGGCAGAGGCCGCAGTGAGCCAAGATCACGCCACTGCACTCCAGCCTGGGCAATAGAGTGAGACTCTGTCTCAAAAAATAAAGTAAAATAAAATAATAAGACAACTGTTTCAAAATGTCGTAACCTGTGAACGGAGAGCCCGTTCTGAACGCCTGTGGGCAGCACACATACGCCTATCCGTATAAATGAAGCGTGGTTCAGCTCCGCCTGCTCCAGGCCCCCCGACTTAGGTTCCCCACCGCCTGGGCATCTCGCAAGTGTGACCCCCTCCCTGGCCAGGCCGCCTGGGCCTTCCACAGGTGTCTCCAGTCCTGCCGCCCCAGCAGCTGCCACCGGAGGGGTGTTTCCGAGACGGGAATTTCCAGGCTCCTGGCTGATGAGGAACTTGCCGTCTCTGCAGCCTGGCCTCTGCTCTCTGCCCCCTCCCCTCTCCCCTGCAGGAGCCACCTCCTCAGAGGTTCAGGGCCTCCTAGGGACCCAGTGCCTGCCTGCTGGCCTGAGTGCTGACAGCCCTTTGGTGGCCTCTGAGGGCCACCAGGCTCCCAGGCTGAGCCCTGCGCAGAGCAGCACAGGCCTGCTGGGGAAGGTGACCATAGGTGGCTTCTGCACTTGACCTCTGAGCCCTCTGTGTCAACCTGCAGGGCTGACCCTCTTGACAGCGTGTCCGGGCCTCCCTCGTGGGAGGGACATTTGCAGCGGAGTGGCTCCTAGACCTCTGTGCCCAGTCCCCTCTGCATGGTGCTGGCTCCCGCTTCCCAGAATGGGTTGGGGACGCCTGGGGCGGCTGCCCTGGGCACCCTCAGCGGGGCACGCTGTTCTCTGGCCGCTGGGGCCTGCGAGGGAACACTCTGGAAAGGCCGGGTCATCCCTTGGCCTAGTCCTGACAACTATCTCAGGACATGCTGGGGGCTGCTTGGACCCGTGGGCTGGGCTGGGCTGGGCCCGGGCTCCCCATCAGCACTGAGGACCGAGGCTGGGCCAGACTCCATCCCCCCCTGCCTGGCTGTTCCCTTTCCAGGCCCACCTCAGACCCAGCAGCCACCTCCCCAGCAGAAAGCCTGGCGCGCAGGGACAAAGACCTCAGCCCTTTCTGTGCCTGAATGACGTAGGGTGAAAAGTGGTCTTGGAGCAGCACGGTGACCCCGGACAGAGCCCCAAGGCCAGGCCAGGGCCACCCCTATGCCTGCCAGTGTGGCCTCAAGAGAAGGAAGGGCCTAGACTTGGGGCTTTGCCCCCCACTTGCTGTGTCCCCAGGACCAAGTCCTCAGTGTCCCCAATCTGTAACACAACGGCTAGAACTACCTTAAAGACACCTCTGCTAGAGACAGGTCCAGTCCTGATGGCCCCAAAGCCACCTGCCACGACCCAACCTGCACCTCTGCCCAGGGCCCTGCCTGGCTGGCCACTGGCCCCAGGCCTGAACATCCACAGACGCCCTTGCGGACCCCTCTCACCCCCTCCTGGCCCTGTGGACTCCCTGCAGGGTGTGAGGGTGACCGACAGGCCTTGTTCTTACGCCGCACCTGCCCCCCCTCCCCCGCCGCCTCCCCACCTGCAGCCGCCGCTTCTCCCGGCCTGCCACACGCATGCTCGCCAGGTGCTCCAACTCCAGCCTGCCCAGTGCCTCCTTCTGCAGGGCTCTCGCTGCCCGGGCACTGCCCAGCACACCCTCCACCTGGCGCCGGCCTGTGGGGCAAGCAGGGTGGCTTGAGGGGCTCCCACGCCCCTCCCAGGTCACAGGCAGGCAACTCCGCAGACTTGAGTGACTGGCACCCAGGTGGGGCAGGGTCTGTCCTCGCCGCTCGAGGGTCCTGGGCTGGCCTGGGGTCCCCGCTTCCCGTGTCTGGACTCTGACCTCCTCCCTGCTCATCCTTCCCTCCTGCCTCTTTCCTTTTTTTTTCTTTTTTTAAGAGACAGGGTTTCACCACGTGGGTCAGGCTGGTCTCCAACTCCCGACCTCAGGTGATCCGCCTGCCTTGGCCTCCCAAAGTGCTGGGATGACAGGTGTGAGCCACCGCGCCTGGCTGCCTCCTTCCTTTAACTGAGGGGGCACTAAGTGGAGAAACTCGTGCGTGAGACGCAGTGGGGGGCAGTGGGGAGGGACCTCTCTGAGGGGTTGGCAAGAGGCAGGGCCTGCATGGGGAGAGCCATGTGGCTACCTGGGGTAGCGGCTGCCAGGAAGAGGGCACGGCCCAGGCAAAGGCCCCTGGTGGGAACTGCAGGAGGCCAGGGCGGGGCAGGGGCTGCCGAGGACACTGGGGCTGGGTGGACCAGGAAGGCCTTGAGGGGCCTGTGGATGCCATTCCTCTGTGCTGGGGAAGTTGCTGCTGAGAAAGCTCTGATACCAAGCGCGGGCCCCGCCTCCCCAGGCCTGGTGGCTTGGGTACTGCCATAGGGGCCGAAAGCTTGCAGCTGGCCGCCGTGGGGACACTGTGGTTCCACCCTCACAGCCGCTCCCACAGTGGGTGGGGTGGGGAAGGCAGGTCACCTTCCTGGGCCTCGGCCAGGGCTTTCTGTAGCTGCCCCACGTGGCTCTGGGCCCGGGCACACCTGCACTCTGCCTCACTCAGCCGGCTGCTCAGGGTCGCCATCTGGACGCGAGAGTCGTCCTGGGAGGAAGGACTGAGGTCAGTGGGGGCTGCCCAGCGGGCGGGTGGAGGGCCAAGGTGTCTGCTAGAGGGTGAACGTGTGCAGGGCAGGGTAGCAGGTGGCATGGCAGTGGGCTCGGGGAAGGTGGGCACACTGGGAAGCTGAGCTGACCTGCAGGCCTGGGGAGGGGAGGGGTCCAGTGGGGCTGGGCCTTCAGGACCCAGGTTTCAGGTACAGGTGTGGCGTGGAGAGCTGGCAGGTGGTGGCCCACAGCCTGTGGTCACAGGGACTGGCAGGGGCTGCCCTGGCAGCATTTGGGGCTGAGTGCCGATGGGACCTTGCTCCCCAGGGCAGACACGAAGGGAGCGGGTATGCACGGACCCCAGCCAGGGCTCAAGGCCTGCCTCTGTCTTTCCCACAGCCCTGCCCATGGGAGTCCCCTGCCCATCGTCACCCAGCGAGCTGGAAGGGGGCCGCTCATGGGTGGTTCTGTGGGAGCCCTAAAGCCAGGAGCAGCCACTGGGGAGCTTGGGCCCCAGGAGTGGACTTTGGGAGCACTGAGGAGAGCTTGCTGGCTCTGTCCTGCAGGGGACGGCACGGATTGTAGAATGCCCTGGCCTGGGCCCTGGTGGGTGTCGCAGGAGGGCCTGGCTCCAGGGGCTTTTCAGCCTGGTCTGAGGAAGGGGGTGGCCTGCAGCCACCCAAGGCACTTGGGTTTGGGGGACACGGTGGTACCAGCGTTTATCACAACAAACAGGACAGCCTGGACCTTGAGACCCCGGGACGCGCGGGTGGGTGGACAGCAGGTCTAAGGTGGTCTGTGGGTGGGAGGCCCCGGCCCCCGTTACCCGCTCCCGCTGGGCTTCTCGGAGCTTCCGCACAAAGTCCTGTAGGACGTCCTTCACAGTGTCCACATCCAGGAGCTCAGAGCTGCGGCCTCCGGGTGTGGGCGAGGGCCGTCGGAGGGGTGAGTGGGGCCTGGCTCGGCTGCTGGCACCCTCTCGCCCAGGGAGAGCCTGGGAGCCGTTGGAGCCTGCGGGAGGTGACAGCGGAGAGGTCATAGACAGGGACACAGCGACAGAGCACGCCCATGCCCCTTCCTCTCTGCTGCTCCAGCCATGGGAGCTTGGGGGGCTGGCCACAGGCCCCTACAATTGCCAGTCCGGGTCACTCGCTGATCAGCTGTGAGGCCTGAAAGTGGGGTGGCCAGGCCAGGGACTGAGCAGGGACAGGGGCTTGCCTGCCGCCACGGAGGACTCTGACCTTGGGTGGGGGAACCGGGCTGCTCCGGGGAGGCCCATGGGCTCTGTCCCTGGAGCCCCAGGCCACGGCGGAATGCGGAGCAGAGCCGGCGCAGCTGGGCCTCTGCCCCCTGCCTCGCACACTGGGCCTGGGTAAGCTCCTGCTCCAGGCTGTGGATCTGCTGACAGGCCTGGTCCAGGCGAGCCTGGAGAGCATCGGCCACAGCGCTGGCTTGCTGCAGCTTCCTGGTGACGCTGTGCAGCTCTGCCCCGCAGCTGTCATGGAGGTGCTCCTGGAGCCGCTGTCCGCGGGCCTCACAGATGGCCTCCACCTCGGCCAACTTCCTCTGCAGCCCCAGGACCTGTCGGAGGGTCGTTTGGGGGAGCGCCCGTGGGAGACGGTGAGGAAGTGGGTGGGCCTGGGCCTCCCTCTGCCCCCCCCGCCCAGCGCCTTCCCTTTGGCCACTGGCGGCCCTCCCACCTCCTCCCGGGCACCCGCGCGCCCGGCCTCCGCCCCGGCCGCCTGCCTCCGCAGCTCCAGCACCTCCTGCGAGCGTCGCCCCTGCAGCTCCTGGGCCTCTCTGCACCTGCTCTGGTTCTCGGCCATCAGCGTCCTCACCTGGAAGCACCGGGCCGCACTGATGGGATCACTGGTCTCTGCCCAGGCAGCCTCCCTGCCTCCTGCCTCCACTCACAAGTTCCTTGAGGGCAGCTGGCCACACTCAGGGAGGCTTGGGCTAAGGTTCCTCCAAAGGACCTCGTCCCAGGAGCCACCACCCTCAGCCATGGCGCAGACCCCTACCTGGCACCTCCTCTGAGAACCTGGGACAAGGAGGAGTCTCAGGAAGGGCGGGTTGGGCCCTGATTAGGGAGTGTGGGCACTGGCTGGGTGCACTGGAGCCAACTGCCCTGAGGCTGCCTCGACAGGAGGGAGCCAGGCCTCGCGGAGACCCGGCTCTCCAGCACCCAGTCCTGCAGAGGCCGGGCTGCCCCCCCAGCCTGTCTGAGCCCCGAGTGCCGTGGAAAGGCATCACATTCAGAGACCGTGCTGCTGTGCTCGGCCCTTCCCCCTCCCCAAGCCTTCCTGTTTCTGTCCTCTCCAGTCCTGCCATCTGTACCCCGCAGGGACAGACCCAACCAGGGGCCCTGTGAACTTGAGAAGGGGGTGGCCCCAAGTCTGGGGACAGAGTGACTCAAAGGTAGCTGCAAGGCCAGGTCTGGGGGCTCCTGCACTGCAGCTGGGGGGGCCCTGGGACGCACCAGGCGGGAGGTGCCTGGTTGGATGTTGACCCTTCCGGCCGCCTACCTGTCTGTGGAGCTCCTGGAGCTCCTGGCGGGTGTCCCCCCGCGCCTGCTCCAGCTCCCACAGGCGGGCCCGCAGTGCGCTGGCCTCCCGCTGCGCCGCCGCCCATGCCTCCTCCAGGACCAGCAGCTTCTGCTCCTTCTCGTCCTTGGACCGCTTAAAACTGAAAAGGGTGCCACCGTCTGGTGTGCCCGTACCCCCTGGGGGCGGCACTGCTGCCCAGCAGGCCTCTGCTGCTCCACTGAGGCACCGACCCCAGTCTGGACTCTCGGTGTCCCCAAAACCCGCCTCTGCAGGGCTCCCTGTCACCTTCTGGACACATGTCCACCCGTGTCCCAGTGCCCAGCTGCATGGCCCCTGTGCACCATTTACCTCTTCAGCCCCTCCTCACCTCATCCTTCCCCACTTCTCCCTCTCCCTCACGTGCGCAGACACTCAACATCCAGCCCAGTTTGGCACCTCTGCTGCCTGCTGTGAGGGCTGCCGTCCGGCCCAGCTGCCCCACAGGGGCCTTTCTGGAGCCCCAGCCAGGCTCTTGGCCTCCCTCTGCTCCCCAGCCTGGCACCACCTCTGGGAGGTCACCTGTGACCTGTCTTCCTGCTGATGGGAACTTCCTGTGGGCAGGGTCAGGTGTGTCCATATCCCCAGCCACCCTTGCACGGGCCAGCACTGCAGACCCCTTGGACCAGGCAGCAGGAGGCCTGCTTGGCATGTCTACCCACCATCAGTGGGGCCAAATCAATGGGACGCCCCTGCCTAGTCCCCTCACCCAATCCTCCCTGCAGCCTGGGTGGGCAGTGGGCTGCAGGGACCCCGGCGGCTCCGGGATGGCTGCCGTACCTGGCCTTCTCCTGCTCAGCCCTGCAGACGGCGGCCCACAGCTCGCTGTTGGACCGCAACAGTACATCCTTCTCTCGGGCCTTGTCACCCAGCGCCTGGCGGGCCTCCTCCCGGCTCTCCTGGACGGCCTGCAGCTCCTGGCGTAGTGTGGCCAACCCCTCCTGAGCCATGGTCAGCTGTGCCCGCAGCCTCTCAGCCTGGGGAGGAGCATGCAGCTCTGGCAGCCAGCTGGGGACTGAGCTCCAGGGCGAGGCACAGGGGCCCTGCCAGCGTGGTCCTCCCGCACTGTGCTCACCCCATGGAGCCACCAATCCCTACTGCTGTGGAGGCTGTGGGGCGGCTCCAGGGGCTGGGGCAGGGCCAGCCCAAGAGCCCAGCAGACCCCACCTTGACCCCCTGGGTCCGTCCCCATGCTGTGGCCTCCCTGGACCCTGGGACATTGACCACTGGCCGGCAAGGCCTGCTTGGGACGCGGCTTAGCACACGTGTCTGCACTGTCATTGCCCACATTCAGCTGCCCCTGCCTGGGGCCCCCCCACCTCCCGCCCCCAGTGTCCCGTCCTCTCTTTAGGTGACAGTGTGGTGCCCAGGCCGCTGCCTGTCCTGGTGTGGACAGCAACCTTGGCAGGCAGGCTGGGCGCGGACCCTGGCACAGGGACCCCGGCACAGTGGGGCTCACCCACTCCCTCAGCCCAGCCCTTCTTCCCCATTGGCATGGGAGGCAGTGGGAGAGGGGTCTCTGGCGATGGGGACAGTGGGAGGAGGGTCTCTGGCGATGGGGGGGCACAGTGAGGGGAGGATCTTGGTTCCCTGCTCTGGACACCAGGCATCTCATGGTGGCCGGGAGAGCCCAGGGCTGGGGTCTGGAAGACAGTTGCAGCCCAGCGGAAAGGCTCCCCCTGCGCCTACGCTCTGGGTGACGACTTACTGGGGTTTGGCCCTGGCCCCCAGTCTCTTGCCTCCCAGGTCTGAGCTCTGGGCCTGACCAAAAACCCTGGAGAGGACTCCATGCTGGCTCTGGCATGTCCCAGGGGAGGAGGGGGAGCCGGCGGGGCATGCCCAGGGAGGGAAGACACAGAGACTCCGTGATGTCAAGTTGCCGGCTTGCCAAAAACAAAACCCTCTTTGCTGGCTGTTTTCACGGGATACTGTCCAGGCCCCCGGCCGGCCTGGCTCTTGAGGCTGCCGCTGTGATTGTTGTTCTGTTTTTGGGAAGGGCCAGAGCCTCCCCTCTGCTCCCCTCCACCCCCACACGTGGGAGCCCTGACCGTGCTGAGCATTTTCCGCAGAGCTCAGCAGAAACGGGCCCAGAAGGTCAAGGACCAGCAAAAGGGCCCATGCATCATAAGAGAAGCTGTTTTCATTTCCCAGGGCAGTGGAGGTGAAAACAAGCAAAACAAATGGGGGGAGGGGGAGGGCCCCGGAGGGGGAGGGGGAGGAGGAGGGCCCCAGAGGGTGAGGGTGAGGGTGAGGGTGAGGGTGAGGGTGAGGGTGAGGGTGAGGGGCCCGGAGGGGGAGGGGGAGGGTGCTGGAGGGGGCGGGGGAGGGTGAGGGCCCTGGAGGGGGAGGGGAGGGTGCTGGAGGGGGAGGGGGAGGGCCCCCACACTCCCCCACCGCTCCCCCCCTCCTGAGAACAGCCATCCCTTTCACAGGAATTTTACAGCCAAATCACTTAATGTGATTATAATAATTATTTCTTTACTAGAAATTGTATAAACGGCCTCTTTAAAAATCTCCTGCAGCGAGGCCGCTCCAGAGCCCTGCAGGGAGGGGCTGTGGAGGGAAAGCCGGGGAGGGACGGGTGAGTGTGGCTGTGCGTGTGCATGTGTGAGGCAGAGCGCGTGCAGGTGTCAACTCTGTGTGTGGTGTGTGTACGTGTGTGTGCGTGTGCGTATGTGTGTATGCCTGTGCAGGCCCTACGTATGTGCATGTGTGTGTCTGCATGTGTGTGCGTGTGAGTGTGCATGAGTGTGTGAGTATACGCGCGTGTGTGCACGTGAGTGTGCATGTGAGTATGTGCATGTGAGTGTGCATGAGTATATGCATGTGTGTGCATGTGCATGTGAGTATATGTGAGTATGTGTGCATGTGTGTGTGTGTGTGTATGTGTGAGTGGATGTGCATGAGTGTGCATGTGTGTGTGCGTGTGTGCGAGTGTGCGTGTGTGCGTGTGAATGTGTGCACGTGAGTATGTGTATGTGCGTGTGTGCTTGCTGCGTGTTTGTGTACACGCCTGTGTGCACTGTGTGGTTCCGTGATTCCAGTGTGAGGGTTGTGTGGACGTGAGTGCATGTGCGTGCGTTCGTGTGTGTGCATTCAGTGTGTGTGTGCGTTTATCATGTGTGTGCTTTCAGCACGTGCGTGCCACTGTGTGTGGCGTGTGCACAGGTGTGTGTGGTCTCACTGTGCTCGTGTGTGATGTGGATCCACACGTGTGCACACGTGTGTGGGCCTTAGCCAGGATCTGAGCCTGAAGTTCCTCCAGCTTAAAGGCTGTGAAAAATGTTACGGTTTCCATGGTGACCCCGGGCCGGCCTGGCGCCGGACAGGCTGGGCTTGCTGTTCTGTGAGATTGCTCCTCCGTCCCCATCACCATCCTCACCTTTCAGCCCCCACTCCCTATCTGGGCGCCGGGCTCAGGGAGCCCCAACTCCCTTCCGGGCACTGCTGCCCTGAAAGCCTGACCTTCTGTGAGGCGTGCGCTCCCTTCCTTGAGGCCCGCAGAACCGCGGCGCCCCATCCCCCCCCCCGCCCCTGTTGCCGCAGTTTTGAAATCTCCTCTTGCTTCCCGGTGTGGTTGCTGACCAGGCCTGACTTTGAAATCTGTTGAAAGGAGACCTTTCTCCTCGGGGCCAGTGTAAACAGCTGCTCATGTTAAATCACGTTCTCTTCCTCTCTCCGCCCCGCCTCTTGTGTGTGCCTGGGGAGGGCTGAGCCCCTCTCCCCACTCTGCCCTGCTGGCCGCCCGGCACCAGGTCAGCTGCACAGCCCCCAGCCTTGGCAAGACGCCCGGTCCCCAGGGGCCCCGCTGGGGCTGCAGCTGACCCTCCCCTCCTCCAGCCCAGTCCCTGTGCCCTCCTGCCCTCGCCACACACAGGTGTCCCCCTGTCCCACCAACCCCCTCAGGAACGCCTCTGCCATCTGCCTGCCTGCTGAGCCCAGGACAAGCAGGGGGCCCCTCCTGCCCCCTGCCCATGACTGTTCCCCACCCCACATCACCATCACGTGGCTCCTGGGTGCCTCCATATCAACCTTGGGGCCTTGGCCAGGCCCAGGGCCACCCTGCAACCTCCAGTGACCCCTACTTCTTTTCTTGCCCACTGCCCCAAATCCAGCCTCCCCCCATCCTAGTGCCCAGCGCAGTGCAGTCCATGCCCCCTGCTGTGTGGGCAGAGCCCAGCTTGTCTGGGGCCTCCCCTTGCCTCAGTGGATGGCACAGTGGATCTCCTGGCCAAGGGTCCGGCTTCCCCTTTGCCCCAGGTCACATCCGTCTCCCGGGAAGGCTTTGGGAGCCAGGCCCTCCTGACTCCACTTTCTTAACTGTATGTGGAAGGGGCTGGCTGGACTCCGGAGCCTTTGGCTGTGTGGCTCTGGCCGCCCCTTTACATGCTGGCCCTCCCAGCGGCAGGCATGCCCCACCCGTGCCCCGGGATACAGCCAGTGTGCCAGGCACCTTCCCAGGACACGCAGGGCAGCCTGTGGAGAGCTCCCCACCTGCCCAGCTGGAACCCAGACTCAGCCAAGTCCACTTTCACCCCAAGTCAAACTCACCCCTTCAGGGGGCTTAGAAATGACGCCTTCTTTCCCTGAAAACCAGCGTCAGCTTCTCTCAGCGGATGGCCCGGGCCGGGCCCCGTTTCATCTGCTCTAGGAGCCTGCGCTTGGCTTAGTGCCTGGTGTGAGGCCCCTCGATCACGAGCCCTGTGGCTGCCTTTTACTACCCTCAGGGGCCAAGCTGCCCTCCTCCACTGCATGGCCTCACTTCTTCCTGACACCCCACTCTCACGCTCCCCTGTCTCAGACCCTCAGGGGCCAAGCTGCCCTCCTCCACCGCACGGCCTCACTTCTTCCTGACACCCCACTCTCACGCTCCCCTGTCTCAGACCCTCAGGGGCCAAGCTGCCCTCCTCCACCCCACGGCCTCACTTCCTCCTGACACCCCACTCTCACGCTCCCCTGTCTCAGACCCTCAGGGGCCAAGCTGCCCTCCTCCACCGCACGGCCTCACTTCCTCCTGACACCCCACTCTCACGCTCCCCTGTCTCAGACCCTCAGGGGCCAAGCTGCCCTCCTCCACCTCACGGCCTCACTTCCTCCTGACACCCCACTCTCACGCTCCCCTGTCTCAGAACCTGCTCCGCTGTCTTCTCGCGGCTGCCACCCCCGAGCCCCAGCCCTGCCCCTCACCTCTCTCTTCACTTGGCCTCGCTCAGCCGCCAGGTCCCGGAGGCGCTCACGCAGGGCCGTGGTCTCCGTCTGATGGGCTGCGATGGCATCCTCAAACTGGGCCTGGAGGGCCTTCAGCTCCTCCGTCGTGGCGCTGACAGTGGCCTGGGGGCAGCAGGGAGCCCACAGTGGCTCCAGGGAGCCAGGCCCTTGGCAGTGGGGGTGAGGTAAGGCCAGGACCCGCGAGCGGGAGGAGCTGCCGTGGCCGGGGGAGGAGCTGGGCCCTGCTGACCGTCATGCAAGTCCCGGGCACTGGCCCTCAGTGTCCTAAACTGTCAACAGGCTGGTGGGATGAGGGGAAGTTCACGGTCCCTGCCAGCTGTGATGTGTGAGTGCCCACAGATGCACCAGGAGGCAGCCCCTCAGCTCAGCCTGCACCCTGGGGCAGGGCCCACCCCTGCCGGGCCCACCACACACGCGGGGCCCTACCCTCCATTTGGGACTGAGTTCAGGGGAGTCTGGACCCCGTCGCCCACACCCCCAGGGTGTCCTCTCAGGAAGCGTACAGGCCTCAGGGCAGTGTGACCAGCAGAGATCCTCGGACCAAGAGGCCCCAGGCTCGACCTGTGGCCCCCTGTTCATGGACAAATGCCACCCTCTTCACCCCAAGCCCCGGGCCCCTCGGGTCCCAACCCTGCTTCCTCTCAAGGCCCTCCCCACCGCACCCTGCCCAGGTTGGGGCAGCAGGGCAGATGGGGCTCAGGGTGGCCTCAGCTTCCTGGGTCTCAGTGTCCTCAGTATGAGATATCAGAGCCCTGCCCTGGTCAGGTTCCACACCCGTGGGTTTGGGGCACTGGACCAAGCCTCCGGGCAGCAGCAGCCGGCTCCCTCCAGAGCTGGCTCTGTGTTCCCTCGGGCATAGGTGCCCCACCTGCCCACATGGATCCTGCTGGGGTGGGGGTTCCTGCAGCCTGTGCCACCCGCTCTTGGGAAAGGAGCCCTCTGTCCTCATTCTCCACCGCCCCCTGCAGACCCTCTGGACGGACTAGGGTCATCCTGGGTGAGCAGGCTCTGTGCCTCTGTGTGCTTCAGCACTGCCAGTGACTGGTGCTCCTGACGCCTGGCTGCAGGACCCCTGTGAGGGCCTCGGGGACAGGGCACAGGCCGGAGCCGCTGGGTGGTGACTCAGCCTGGGGGCGCACGCTCTCCTGTCATCTGGCGCCGGGCGCTCCTTGGCCGGCATTCCTCTCTCTGGCTCCTTTCAACAGTTTTAATTTCCATTTTCTGGGCTGAGGTGGCAAAGGAACCCTTAGCGAGCTCCCCAGGGAGCCCGGCTGGCTGGCAGGCCTGGTCCTGGTCCGGGGGAGACTCAGGGCCAGGGCAAGAGGAGGCTTCAGAAGCCAGCACTGGCTCCAGAGGAGGCCCCTCTGTGAGCTAGAGGCGTCAGCTCGCAGGACCCCAGGAGGCCTTTCCTGGTTCCCTGCCCACAGGGTGGAGCCGAGGGAGCTGCTGGGCGAGAGGTCAGGAGGAGGGAGAGGCACAGTCACAGGCCCGATGCCAAGCTTGGTCCTCCCGGGCCTCAGGGGCAGGATCAGAGCAGGGTGGGGCTCCCCTGGCTGCTGGGTGCTCCTCTGGGCAGCCCTGCTTGGAGGGACCAGGAATCCGCGTGGTGGCGTCAGGAGGTGAAGCAACATCCAGCACCTGCCTCCTCATTGCGGTGCCCCTCCCGCTGCGCAGCGCCCTGGGGGCCACCTGGGGACCCGGCGCAAGCCCTCCATCCTGGCTCTGAGTCACTGAGCGCCTCCCAAGGCCCTGCTGCTTGGGTGCCCTGGCCCCCACTAGGCAGCCTCCGCTTGCCTCGGTGCAGCCAGGGAGAAGGATTCCTGTTCAGGACGGGCACAGAAGGGGCCTTGTCCCGGGCCTGGCACCACGGCCTGTGTTCTATTCTCTGCCCCCTGGGCCATGCTTTCAACACCAGTCAGGTAGGTATCTAACCCTGTGTCCTTGCCAGGGACGGGGAGGAAAAGGATCGCCTGAATTTAAAATAAGCCAACAAGCACCAGAATGAATGGCCTCATCACCAGACAGCCGGGAGCTGGAAGCACAGAGGCAGGAGGCCGGTGTGGGCCCAGCTGACAGGGTGTGTGCAGTCACCAAGAGCAGAGAGGTGCCGGAGCTGGGGTCGATGGTCAGCCTCGCCCTCGATCCCACCGGCTCCTGGCAAGAGAGGAGCTGGGTCTGGTGCCTCTAGCCCATTCCCTCCCTGCCCAGGGCACCTCGCACCTGTGTCTGTTCAGGGCCAGTCCCGTGCCACCCAGGACAGCAGTCCGACCGCACACAGACAGCCCCTCCTTGAACTCCCCGGGCCTTGGAGGCCCTGCTGAGGCTCCCCCATCCATGTCCAATCCTGGGGTCTGGCCACTCCCCGCTGTGACCCGGGCCCCCATCCATGTCCTATTGGTGGGCTCTGACCACCCCCCGCCCGTGAGCCGGGTCCCCACCCATGCCTATCACGGGGCTCCGGTCACTCCCTATGAGCCCTTCCCAGTCTCTTCATCTCCCATGTGGGACCTGGTGCCATGTCACAGATGGGCTGAAGCCTTGGTGTTCTGCAAGCAACAACAGTGGATGCCCAGCCTTGCCCAGGCCCGAGTCCTCCTCCCAGAGTCCTCATCCCCAAAACTTCCCTCCTCAAAGCCCCCCTCCCCAGACCGTTCCTCCCCAGAGTCCTCATCCCAGAGTCCTCTTCCCCAGAGCCCTCCTTCCCAGAGTCTTCTTCCCTACAGCCCTCCTCCCCAGAGCCCTCCTCCCTACAGCCCTCCTCCCCAGAGTCCTCCTTCCCAGAGTCCTCCTTCCTACAGCCCTCCTCCCCAGAGCCCTCCTCCCCA